TAAGGATAAATCACCGCTGGAATTTCACAATTTTGCGACCATATTTCCGACCACCAAATTTTTTTGCCACAAAAATGATTTTTTTGCATTTTTCCGACGGAAGCTTATAGTGGTCGGAATTTTAATATGTGGTCGGTATTTCTAACCACTATTTACATGGTTGTCAGAAACGTTTTATCAAATTTAATATTTTAAATTAGAGTTTATTTAATATTAGTCTTGTTTCGATCGTCTCAATGAGATCTTTAAAATGGTATAATTTTTATTTAATAATACAAAGTTTAAATATAAGTATTTAACAAAATAAAAAATTACATATAAAACAAATGAAGGATACATTTGAAATTATAAAAAGACGCAAGGGCAAAATTTTCATTTTCCTCTCCCTTTTTCATTTGCCGCGGATGAACAGTCAGCGCCAAATATAGCGATGCACTATTCATTAACGCCATTCTTTTTGGCGTTAGGCGGGATGGAAACCCACCTTGGAGAGAGAATTTTGCTGCGATGGTGTTTTAGAGTTGGAATTTGGCGTCCGTTGGAGATGCTCTTAGAGTGTAAAACAAAGGAGAATGAATTTTACAAATTAAAGTATTTGAAAATTGCAGTGTTAGATTTCGAGCATTTGAGTGCTTATTTTTCAATTCTTGAATGCCTAATACTTGATTTCTGTAGGAAAGTGAAAAAAATTCCTATTGAGTTTGCCGATCTTACTATTGTAAAGTGGGATGCTCGTAGGCCCATTAGCTCCTAATGCGCAAATTATGCCATGGAATCGTGTTCACCGAGAATGGTGAACACAAGGCAAAACGACGTCGTTTTTAGGAAATAAAAAATAAAAAATAAAAATTCGCGGATGTGGAGTTAACGGCGCGCGTTTGATCAAATTATGAATTTTCTGTTATGAGATTATGAATTTTATGAAAATTCATAATCTCATAACAGAAAATTCATAATCGCATAACAGAAAATTCATAATCTCACAACTGAAAATTCATAATCTCATAACAGAAAATTCATAATCTTATAACAGAAAATTCATAATCTCATGGTTCCAAAGTGAATGTGCAGGCATGGATTCATAATTTATGAATGTCCGTGATTTCGGACAGGAATATGTAGGCATGGTTCCAAAGTGAATGTGCAGGCATGAATTCATAATTTATGAATGTCCGAAATTATGAATGTAATGAAAATTCATAATCTCATAACAGAAAATTCATAATCGCATAACAGAAAATTCATAATCTCATAACTGAAAATTCATAATCTCATAACAGAAAATTCATAATCTTATAACAGAAAATTCATAATCTCATGGTTCCAAAGTGAATGTGTAGGCATGGTTCCAAAGTGAATGTGCAGGCATGGATTCATAATTTATGAATGTCCGTGATTTCGGACGGGAATGTGTAGGCATGGTTCCAAAGTGAATGTGCAGGCATGAATTCATAATTTATGAATGTCCGAAATCTTTGTTCACCTCAAATTAAAGTGAAACCGAAAAATGTGAAAATAAAAAAGAAAAGTCACGCAATTAATTAAAAAAAAAAAAAAAAAGATAACGGTGTACTAACACCGTTGGAACCGTGTTCACCATGAATGGTGAACACGGTTCCATGGCATAACGTCTGCTCCTAATGGGTGATTTGAGTATCATATTCAAAGTATAAGCTAAAACAAGAAATAACAACATAGTACAGAGAGTAGATAGATAGGGAGAAAAGTCAAGTTTTCATTCCACTAGCATCATCTTCAGTTAAAAGAGGTTATATGTATAATGAAAACTATAATGAAAATATAAATGGGGACATAAATATGTCCGTTACATAATAATGTCCACTAATGATATTATTTATTACAATCCGCCTTGGACATTATTTGACTATGATATTGCCTCGTTAAAAACTTGCTAGGAAACCAGGTGGGAAAATCTAAACAAGAAAAGAGTACAATGTATATGGATAGTATATTTGAACACATTCATGCCTCGTTAAAAACTTCACTAGGAAAACCATGTGAGAAAAACCTAGTTGAAGAAAAGAGTTCATGATATTTGTAAACTCATATATTGTGTTAGTTGCCTCACTAAAAACCTTAACTTAAGAAAACCATGTGGAAAAAAGAATACAATCATAAGCCTTCAAGGCATAATCTTCAGGATTTCGGGGTTCGTCTATTTAAGTATTTCTTTGCAACTTCCCCCATTGACATTACTATACCATACTCATGTTTCGTTAAAAAATCCACACTCGAAAAACCTAATGGGGAAAACTTTGTGAGGAAAAGAGTACATATATGGTATGTAAATGTTGCAATAGTACAACTGTTAGTCCTTTTAAGACCCAATCTACAAGATTGATTTAAGTGAATGTACTTTCCGTCTCCCCCAGAAGATAACCATCTTCAAGTTCTAAATAACTTAAAGTAAAGTAATTGTTTCAATAGAGTGTAGAGAGGGGATATAGTACAATTTTTAGGATTATCATTAGAATTTTTATAAAATAGTCCTGTGACTCTTCTAAAGCATATGTGGGTTGAATATTTATATAACTTGTCCTTTTAAATATATCCACTAAAAATTTATATAAAACAAATTGTATTATCCTCATATAGGATAGTGGAGGTAAAGTAAAACATAACCAGTTGAGATTTAGCATCATGAGGGTCACAAAGAGCTAATATCCAAGTGGCCTAAGAAAACACATTGCTTTATTGCATGAATTTCAAAAATCTTTATAAATCAAAAGTACTTAGAGGATATTTTGAATATTATTCCAATGTTCAATTGTGGGAGGAGCACTAGGTGTTGCTAGTAATTTCATTGCAAGGACAATGTCAGTCCTGATGCGATCATGGAATTTCTAATTCTATGACAGTGCTCCACCTAGCGATGAGGTAATGGACTTCTAGTCCCAAAAATATCCTCATTAACTAGATAGTCTTTTATCTACTTCAACAGATTATTGGACAACCTTTGGTGTGATAAGTTAGTGGTACTTATCCATAACGTGTCAAAGACATTTTCCTAAAAATATACTGATTAGTGCGTAAAATTTCTGATAGTACTAATTCCCGATTGTCAGTTGTATGTACGTGTGTATATGAATGTATAAATAGAGAAGAGGAATTGTAGAGTAAATAGGCCTCTTTTATTAATTCATCAATATTCTTCTTGTTCTTGTAGAGAGAAGCTAGAGAAAATAATGTCTAGAGAGAGAGAGAGAGATCAAATGAGCAGCCCCCTTTACTAAAAGGGCTAAGAGCCTTTTATAGTCCCAAGGAGGTGGCGGGTTTGACCCGTCACCTTTGACTTTGACCCGTTAACCGGGTCCCGAAGTGCTTGACCTCGACCTGACTATAAACGGGAACACGGACCCGGGGTACATAACATATCAATTTCTTTTAAGGAAATACTCGATCTTACAAGTCGAGATAATACTTGATTTTTCAAGTCCTTTATTTTACAAAAAACCCATTAATAAGTACCTAATGGTACATATTCATTTCTACAAGGATAAACATTAGTGTATAACGACCCTTAATAAGCTACATATCTAAATTTATTATTATTCTGCCAATTACGTAGCGGAACTTTTAATAATATTCATTATGCATGGGAGAGTATATCTTATTCTGGTTTCTGCGTGAACCCTTGGTTTACAAACTCGATTTATATCACACCTCCTCATTATTATTGTTTCTCAGAAAAATGTACAAATAAGTCACCGAACTTGAATAAGCTCCAAATTCATCTATGAACCTAAAAAAAAAAAAAAAAAAAAAAAAAAGCAATTAGCATTTTTAGCAGATTAACATGTTTACACTGATTGGGATGTCATATGTATTTATATTTGGGATAAGGGTCAAATAGACCCACCAACTATATACCAAAGTGTAATTAGCCTCTCAAATTAAAACCCTTCAATTAAACCCTTAAACTTGTTAAAAGTGTGCAATTATCATTTTTAACAAATTACCAAAAAGTAACCAATTAATTTTGCTTACTTGGCATCTACATGTCATTTTATTTAAATATTTTTTTTAAAAAAAAAAAACTTAAAACAAATAGTTATTGAAGCTGCCGGAACCGTTCGTTCGACCCTGTTGGAATCTTCCATTTGAACAGAGAAAGTCGTTGGCTTCTCGTCTCCGTTCATGGAGAAACCTACGAGCTTCTCCGTCCAAATCTAGACGGGGAAGCTTATTGGCTTCTCCATGTACGGAGATGAGAGGCCATGGCTTCTCCTCGGTTTGAGATGCGAGCAAGCTTCTTCGGCCAAATTTGGACGGAGAAGCTTGTTGGCTTCTCCATGAACGAAGTTTCTCTCCGTTCATGGAGAACTAGAGACGCCAATGCTTCTTATCTAGTCCATGACAGCAAGCTGCCAGCCTACCATGGCATTGTTTGATTTTTTTTTAATAAATATAATTAATTTACATTTTAAAAAATAATTTTAAAATTATTAATTAACGTGGAATCCTATGCAACTGGTGACTTAAAAGTAAAATGCTATTATAAGTCAAATAAGTTAATTGAAGGGCACTTTTAGTTTGAAGAGTTAATTACACTTTAATATATAGTTAGAGAATTTATTTGACCCTTATCCCTTTATGTTTTTGTTTTCTTATTATCCCTACTACCATTATTATAATAAAATATGTAATATTTATGAACATTTTCTTGTGCATTGTTGAATGTTGTTTTTGGCATTTGCCCAAAGTCATAGATTAAGGTCTGATGTTTCTTTAAACTTATGATTCAACATACATGGTAGCTGGATTTTGAATTTTGTTGATGATTATTAGCCATTTGTGCATGAATTATTCCAAATTTATATGTTTACCCCTAAATTTAACAGCAAGGGAATGAAAAACTAAACAAAAGACTACATCTAACAAAAACAAATTTGAGTCTAAATCATGTCACAAAAATCATTTAGAACAAAGTAAAAGAAATAAAAAAAAAAAATCACCATAATCAATGACTATTTTAGATATTAACTCAAATAAAAATCCATCAAAGTATTTTTCCCATTGAAACAACCCAAGCAAAAAGCTATAACCATTCCAAACCAAAACTACTACATTAACATCTTACCCATAAACCCTTGTAAGATTTACACCACACTTGGCAATAGATCTAAGCAAAAAGTGGGCAGTCAAAATTGCAGTTGTTATATTATAGACCGCGGTACATAATCGATTATGCACCGCGGCCCATATACGGCGCCGTTTCTTTAAGTAAAGAAACGGCCCGCCGTTAGAGTTAACGGAGTCCGTTTGTTTGGTGTATTAAACACCAACTGACACTACAGTATATCCAAACTGACACTGCAGTTATATCAAAATGATACTGTAATTATAGTGAAATGAAACTGCAGTGTATATAAAATGAAACTGTAATTGTGTTCAACTAAAATTGCAGTGTATACAAAATGACACTGAATAACAGAGTTACTTTTTGTAAAAAGGTGCGAAACGGCGGAAATAAACACGGTTAATTTTCATTTAAAAAAAAAAAGACAGCGCGGTGCATGCACCGGTAATATAATTTGCCTCAAAATTGCACAACAATCAACCTTCATCTTAGGCCCTCTCCCCACGAATCCTCCTAGCAAGCTGGATATCCTTGGGCATAATGGTGACCCTCTTAGCGTGAATCGCACAGAGATTGGTATCCTCGAACAATCCGACAAGGTAAGCCTCGGCCGCCTCTTGAAGCGCCGCCACCGCGCTGCTCTGGAACCTGAGATCCGTCTTGAAGTCCTGAGCGATTTCCCTTACCAGCCTCTGGAACGGAAGCTTTCGGATCAGAAGCTCAGTCGACTTCTGGTATTTCCTGATCTCCCTCAGCGCCACCGTCCCCGGCCGGAAACGATGCGGCTTCTTCACTCCGCCGGTCGCCGGAGCAGACTTCCTGGCGGCCTTGGTGGCGAGCTGCTTCCGTGGAGCCTTCCCTCCGGTGGATTTGCGGGCGGTCTGCTTGGTACGAGCCATCTGAACAATTAATTGATGAGAGAGAGAGAATATAGAGAGAGAAATTGTATGTATAGGTTATGGTTTTCTTTGAACAGAGTGGGGAGTATTTTATAGGGATTGAGGGCGGGAGCGAAGAGAATTTTCAGAGGTGGTTTGAAATTTGGGGATTTTGAAGGTGAGTATGAACCGTAGATTGAGGGAAAGTTTTAATGGTCAGGATTGGGCATGAAATGGAGAGCCGGATAGTGATCCGTGTGAAGATGCTTAAGCGAATGATGTTACGACGCGTCACTTTTGGTGTTTTATTTTCGCGCTTGCTATCTTCCTGAAAAGTGAAAACGGCAGCACAAAATTTTGAATGGATTGCGATATACTCCGTATATGTCTATTTTAGTATGCTATAATTCATTTTTTATTTTTTATTCTTTTTACATCTACATCTACAATTTTAATAAGAGTCAATAATATTACGCCTTTAACGAGAATAAAAAATATTAGTGTAATAATTTATTCAAATAAATGGTTGATATTATTTATGTTTACTTATTCTTTATGGTTGCTTAGATATTAAGTTCAGTAACCTTTTCGGTTTTTGTTCTTACAGAATGTTCCACTTTACATCTAATTTGCTTTAGTTTGTTGTTCTCGCATTGACATGCATTTAGGTGTAAAATGGATAGTTTTCTAAGATTTATAAACATGTATTTACTTATCTTTAGTATCAAAGTTAAATGTCAATTTAGTGGTCAGAATATGAATTTATCTTTCTAAATAATTGAGGTGATATTTATATGCTTGTTTCATATTTATATTTTAGTGGAATATATGGCCAGTGTGTATGTATTATTTGTAATGTTTGTTGTTTCTTACATAGATTCTTGAAGAGCATTTAAGTAAAATGGATGCTCAAATAACTTACATTGATTTGTGAATTATAATATGTATATTCACATCAATTTTCATATTAACAATTTTTTTTTTTTATGTGAGCAAACTATTTCATAACATTTTTTTAATATTTGTGAATGATCTAGTATGATTGTTTTTTTGTAATATCTTGTTGCAAATGGAAAGTTGAAAATGCAACTGTGGTAGAACCACTACTATCTTCTTTTATTTTTCTTTTTCTTTTTTAAAGAAAATGGAAATGGCATATGAATTGAAAGTGCTTATAGATTGAAGACTCATTCCACCTTATTGACATGAAAACAACAAAGTACTTAAATTCATAATATTTACTTCAACTAGTAATATTTAGTAAACTTAGAAACCAAAACAATTTTGAATTTTTAGCTACACTCTAATGGCACAAAAAAAAAAAAAAAAAAAAAAAAGTGTTTGTAAAACTCAACGATTAATTAATTATTTAATACAAAATGATATAAATAAAAATTGACTAAAATGTCCCTCAATAATTTGGAAATTTAAAATGCATTATTAATATTAACATAATTTGCTAGTGATGGACTAAAATTGTCACTTTACACATAATTAAATGGGAAAATCTTTGTATACTAATAATTCATAGACTGGGTCTATAATATATGAATATAATTGATGGACTAAAACTGTTATTTTCCCTTAAAATAATCTACCTTTTAAGAAACTAATAAGATTCCTTACAAGTTTTGGAAATACAGGATACTTTCTTATTAGTACTTGAAAGTGTGGGAGTGTTTTTACAAAAGTAGCTTTGCTAACATATTAGAAAATAAAAATAGGTCCTAAAATGATAGAATTTATTGTCATTTGACTATACACATAACAATAGTGCTTATCGATTATTAGTGTACGGATCTCATAATACGAATATACATAAGAACATGATAATTGAATCGAAAGATGCATTATTTTTGCAATTGTATTTCCATATAGATCCAATGAGTGACCTAGTACGTCAAAATGGACATTCAACATGGTTGTGGATAAGGGTTATAAATATCACAATCGATCATATGAACTCAATAACTGTTTATTAGGCTTTGCTCCATCACATACATTAATTCCAAAGATAATAAATCATAATTGAAGTAAAGTAATCAAGGAGCAAATGTTTTGACAAAATAAAATACAAGAAAACAATTAAATCAATTTGAAGACTCTTCCATAATCCTTGCCAAAGACTCCAAATTTTCAACATAACTTTGAAGCTCTTCAAGGCTCATGGAATCTAATTCCTCGTCTGGCAATAACTCAAAAAGATGATAATTGAAGTCAGGACCAACATCATCCCTCAAGTAACTGTCGATAAGCATTCTGTCTGAGGTTGTTATCTTCCTCCTAAAAATGAATATAGCAAGCATTTTATTTCTACGTGTTCTTCGCAACAGTCTTGTCATGTTTTGTATGTGGTTTTGAGTGTGTAATGGGGCTATAGCCTTTGTGATACTTTGCGGTGTGACAATCATAACTCTTGGAGGCCTATTTATAGCTCCTAGGAGACCCGATAAAATTTTGGTTTTAGTAAGTGTCGTGACATGTGAGAATTGATAAAGAAAATGAATAAATTGAAAATAAAATTTCCAATTTTGGATTGATTTCATTGCATTGGTAGATATTATTTTAAATATCATTTGATATTATTTTTTTTATTTCACTTTATTGATTTTTTAGAACGAATATTTAAAATTACTTTTGAATATAGTCAATTTAGGAAAAATAAATATAATTTTTTTTATAAATATAATATGTATGATATCTTTTTACCTTTAATACTTTGAAAATTTTGTATTTTTAGATATAACATAACTAAAAATATTTGAACTAATAACCAATTGTAGTAACCCAAAATAATAATTTGGATTCTAATTGTTAATTCAGATAAATTGAGTAGTGTTTAAGTGCAAATGAATATCATGTTCGGATAAATAGATGAAAATATGAAATAGACAAGATCGATGACGTTGGATAGTAATTGTGTATATAGTATTATAGTTACGTTTAAAAATAGATAGGTAGGTAGGTAATTGGTAATGATGTAGTAGGGCAGTTAGTTGTGGTAGGAGTAAATGGTGGTAGGTGGTTGGGGTAAGTAGTGGTGGATATGTACTAAAGGCATATAGGTAGGTGGAGTAGAGATTTTTAAGTAAGTTTTTGCATTTGAAGAATTTTGAAAACAAGAAAAATGAGTTTTTCTAAATCATTGTAAAATTAAAAGAAAAAGAAAATTATCCAAATATTTTTTTCAGTCTCTTAGAAAATTGTTGGTCCCAAAAGGGTATGGTAAAAGTCTAGAGGGGTGAAAAGACTTTTAAACCAAATTTGAATTTAGCTAATGCAATAATAAAATCAAAACACTTAACCAATTTGTCAGTGTCTTATGCACAATGAAATATAAAATACGTTTAGTGATTGTGTCACGTGTAATTCACATTAATATCATGCATGCAAAAATAACTAAAGTAAAGCAATAAAGAACACATGAAATTATAGTGGTTCGGAGGTGTATGTAATCCTCCTATTCTACTCTTCCCCTATCTCCAAGAGGAATTCACTATATCCACCATTCATTGGTTACAAGATACATTGAATTTGTGATCTAGTTCTTTGATCACCAAGCTCGTACTAATCACGCCCAAACTAGTGTCTCTAGCACTGCAACCAAGATTTCACAACTCCGTGCTACTTTCCTCTATCTATACTACGGTAGAGAAACAACCAAGATTTCACAACTCCGTGTGACAATCCTCTATCTACACTCCGGTAGAGAAACCACTTATCTTGGGAAAACAAGATTTTGTTTGCTTTCAACTTGGAGACTTCTGGATGGATTCTTCAATGAATGACAAGTCTCTCAAAGATGAAGATTTAGCACACTTGAATATTTCTTTGTAAGCTCTGAAACACTTGTTATTTTTCTCACTTGTAGTTCGCATGCACAATTGTATAGAATTCCTTGAGTGATTCGTGTCTTGCTTCTTCAGCTCTTCATCCTTACATATGGGTTTGATAATTTGTCCATTGGAAAAAGACAATCTCAAATTTTTTAATCTTGTCAGCTAGTCTTGTAGAGTAGAAAAGCTAACTTTGCAGGCTTTATCTTATTTTTAATGTTGCGAGACAATAAAAAAATATTCAGCTGCTATTTGAGCTCAAAGTCTACGCAAATATGCTCTTCAATTTAATTTGATGAAGTCCACGCCATATTGGTAATTTAGTCTTCAATATTTGCTCCAATCTATTGGACATGAAATGGATAGCCAGATGGTGATCTGTGTAAAGATGCTTAAGCAAATGGTGTTACGAAGCATCACTTTTGGTGTTTTATTTTCGCGCTTGCTATGTGTCTTGAAAAGTGAAAACGGCTAAACAAAATTTTGAATTGATTGCGATATATACCGAATAAAAATTTCCCGGCATATCTTTGTCTAATTGTTATAACTTGATTTTTTTTTTAAAGAAGTTATGACTTAAATTATAGGACATATAGTGTCAATATTCAATAAAATATATGTTCATTTTAGTATGTTATAATTCATTTTTATTTTACTGAATATTTATTTTTAATAAATCTATTCGTCTTGTTTGACACTCAATTGTTAGTAGTTAACAACTTGTATTAGTAGTTAACTAATTGTGTTAGTTGGTTTAATCAGATACTAGATATTCATGAAAAAGTAGTTGGTAACATTAGCTATTAATTTTAGCTGATATCATGTGAAATGACTTTAGAGAATATACATTTGTTCTACAATAATAATAATTTATTAATCATTAATAATTACATATAAATAAAATTAAATTTTAATAATTATTTTTATAATAATAAAATAAAAATTAAAGAACATAATAAAAATATATTATGTTTCACTAAAATATTAAAATTTAAAATAAAATAAGAAATTGTGTGTTAAAAAAATCATAAAATTTTAAAAATACCAAGCATCTTTTTTCTATGAGTTTTTAGCAATAGTCTTGTCATGCTTTGTACATTGTTTTGAGCATGTAATAGAGAGCTATAGCTTTTGTGATACTTAACTATGCGATAATGGTACGTATGTAACTCTTTGTGACCTATTTGTCCCAAGCACTATAAAGTTTTCATCCAGGGGACATGGTACAAATTCAGTCCAGAGGTTATTAATGACTTTTGTAGACTTGAG